GGACATAAAAACCAGAGTGCAGCGGATGCAGGGGCTCACACCTGTAATCCCAGCACTTTGGGAGGCCGAGGCAGGCCAAAATTTATTGCGAGCTTCCTGAGACAAAGCGTGCTTGGGTGTATGTGAGACTAGAAGTTCGAGACCAGCCTGGCCAACATGGCGAAACCCTGTCTCTACTAAAGATACAAAAATTAGCCAGACATGGTGGCGGGCACCTGTAAGCCCAGCTACTTGGGAGGCTAAGGCAGGAGAATTGCTTGAACCCAGGAAGCAGAGCTTGCTGTAAGCTGAGATTGTGCCACTGCACTCCAGCCTGAGCAACAGAGTAAGACTCCATCTCAAAAAACAATAATAATAATAATTATTAAAAGATTTATGAAAAATATCAAAGGATGTTTATGTATCACTCTCTATATGGGATGCACTCCCAGTATGGGACATACATTTGGAGTGCTGTGACAAATGTCACCTCTTTTCTCTGCTTTTGTGTGGATGTGTAGATTGTGTGGATGTGTGACTATTTGGAGATAACCTCAAATGTCTCAATTTGAGACTCTTCATGAACATGAGGTCAAGAATAAATAGTCCTAAAGGCATCTACTGTAAGCCAAACCTCACTGAATGTTGGAAACAAGAATCTTTTCCTCTGTGGCTGGCTCCCACATCAGCTGGGGACACTCATGGGTACCCAGAGGCAGAGACAATGCAAACTGCTCAGCATGTGATAGGGAAACCTAGGAAGCTAGGGAAGCCCAGAGAGGAGGAACTGCAAACCAGAAGCAGCAGCAACTCCCAGCCCAGAGAGCCATTCCCCCGACAACCTGCCAGGCCTCGGGAGCTGATTCTGCTAGACCTGTTCTCTTGCTGCCCAGGATGGACTGCAAGCTCAGGGCGTCCTGTGGCTTGAAGGACTCAGGGAAGAGACCTCTGGGGAAGGCAGCCCTGACAATTTTGCAGCCCAGTGACTCAGCAGCCATCTTGCCAAGACACAGGCTTCCTCCCTGAGAGCTGAGACCCCCGTGCACCCCAGCACACCCCACGTCAACAGAGTCAGAACATATTAGAGCGGAGTTTTGCTCCCCAGTGCCTCTTGTCTCAGCAAAGCCAACTAATTCAGATTTAACCTTCCTCTTAATAGGCCGTGTTGCTGAGCCCTCTAATTAATGCCACATATTTCCCTCAGCTGTCATCCTGAATAAATGTTTACAAAGCTATTAACGTACTGTATTTGTAAACCGGGACCACTCAGCTTTGGGAAGTCATGTGGTACGCATTTTCTCCTCAAAGATGGAAAAGACCTAGTAATAATAAATACATTGTTTTGCAGGGATGGGAGCAAGGCGTTGCCTGAAGGAAAAAAAAAAAAATTATTGTGAGCTTCCTGAGACAGCGTGGCTGTGTGTACGTGAGGAATCAGAGCTCTTCCCGAGTTCAGAGGAGCTGCCAGGGGCTGGATTTGGCCCAGGTGGGGCTGAGAGTAGGAGAACTCCAGGGGCAGAAAAAAGCAATATGCTAGTTTGAGATCTGAAGACCCAGGCTCTGATTCCAGCCTCCTTGTTCTCCAGCTCTGTAGCACTGAGCAAGCCAGTTTTCTTCTTAGGAACTCAGTTTTTCCATCTGTAAAATGGGAAGTTGAGATTTACAAGCGTTTTCTGTGTCTGATCCAGAATTCGAGTCTGATTCCTTCTCTGCTTCAACTTCTACACAAGCCCTAGAGTGGGTCTTGTGTAAATTCTTCAAAGGTACCCGTGCCCCTAAAGAGGAAGTCCTGATGTCTGGACATGAAATCCCAGACCCGACGTAATCTGCTCCACTGGCCTGTCCAGACTGAGGTCTGATTATTCCTGCCTTCTATTCTAGCCAGGCTCCATTGATTGTCAGTTTCCTAAAAGGAGCCCACCTCACTCTCACTTCTAAGCCTTTGCCTATGCTGGGTTTCCTACCAGGAGCACCTCTTCCCTTCTGTCTGGCCTATTTCTACTCACTATTCATGTCTCAACTTCTAGATCACTTTCCTAGGAAGCCTTCCTTGACTCTCAGTTCTGGATGAGATTCCTGCGCCCACAAATGCATCCACAGCACCGCGAACATCTCCTCTCTTAGGACCATTTTGTAGTGGCTTATTTATATATCCGCCCACTAGAGTGTGAGCTCAAAAGGAGCAGGGACGATGGCTATTCGACTAAATGCTGTGTCCCAGATGCCTCACAAATGGGAAATACTTTCAATTAATGTTGCTGGGAACACATGAAGTGACAGGTGACAGGTGGCAAAGAACAATGTGGGGGCCTTTCTAAACACTTTGTAGCTCTAGGAATTTTGGCCCATTAACACGCCATCCTGCAGTGCCCTTCCTGTTTCTCTCAGTAGTACCAATAAGGGGCTCAGAAGCTGGGTGTGGTGGCTCACGCCTGTAATCCCAGCATTTTGGGAGGGCGAGGCGGGCAGATCACCTGAGGTCAGGAGTTCGAGACCAACCTGGCCAACATGGCGAAACCCCATCTCTACTAAAAATACAAAAATTAGCCAGGCGTGGTGGTGGATGCCTATAATCCCCACTACTTAGGAGGCTGAGGCAGGAGGATCATTTGAACCCAGGAGGCAGAAGTTGCAGTGAGCTGAGATCATGCCATTGCACTCCAACCTAAGCAACAGAGGGAGACTCCCTCTCAAAACACACACACAAAAAAAAGAAAATAAGGGGCTTAGAGAGGTTAAGTGACTTGCCTATTATTATACAATTAGTCTGGGACAAAAACTGGGATTTGAACCTAGGACTGTTAGTCTCTCAAGGCACAGACTCTTTATTATTACTATTATAATACTTTAAGTTCTAGGGTACATGTGTACAACATGCAGGTTTGTTACATATGTATACATGTGCCATGTTGATGTGCTACACCCATCAACTCATCATTTACATTAGGTGTATCTCCTAATGCTATCCTTCCCCCTACCTTACCACAGGTCCCAGTGTGTGATGTTCCCCACCCTGTGTCCAAGTGTTTTCATTGTTCAATTCCCACCTATGAGTGAGAACATGCGGTGTTTGGTTTTCTGTCCTTGGGATAGTTTGCTCCGAATGATGGTTTCCAGCTTCTTCCGTGTCCCTACAAAGGACACGAACTCATCCTTTTTTATGGCTTCATAGTATTCCATGGTGTATATGTGCCACATTTTCTTAATCCAGTCTATCATTGATGTACATTTGAGTTGGTTCCAAGTCTTTGCTATTGTGAATAGTGCCGCAATAAACATACGTGTGTGTGTGTGTCTTTATAGCAGCATGATTTATAATCCTTTGGGTATATACCCAGTAATGAGATGGCTGGGTCAAATGGTATTTCTAGTTCTAGATCCTTGAGGAATCACCACACTGTCTTCCACAATGGTTGAACTAGTTTACAGTCCCACCAACAGAAAGCACAGACTCTTAACCATGGTAATATCCAACCTCCTAACTGTGCCACCAGCAGCGGGGCCACCACCACCCTCTCCCCTCCCACCGAAGTCTATGCCCTGATACCTCACACTTGCTGATGTAAATGGCTTTAGTACTGTACTCCAGCTTTTCTCATGCGTTTGTCATCATGGTTACCTAGAATGTGCTAGTCAGGATTCTCTGGGTGTAAGTGACAGAAAGACAATTCTAACTAAAACTAATCAAACATAGAGATGGGGAGGAATAGCAACTCTTCTGTCAAGTCACAGAAGAGGCAGAGGTCAAACTGGCCTTAGGGATGCCTATAACCATGTCTCAGACCCAGCCAGTCCCTGTCTCTTGTTTCTGTCATCCCCACTTCTCCTTTTGGGTTCCTTTAATTCCCTCAGGCCAGAAGCCATCAGGAAGCCAGAATGGAAGCTACACCTGCACAAACAACAGCAAGGACAAACACTCTTCTCCACCAAGGCCCTTAGAAAAATCCTAGGGAAGCAATTTGATTGGTCAAGACTGAGTCATGTGCTCAGGTCTGGACCAATCACTGTGGTCAGAGGTGGAATGCTGTGATTGGCCATTCCTGTCAAAGCTCCACAGTTAGAAAAGAAGCAGTTTCCAAGAGGAAGTGGATAAAGATGTTTCTAAAAGAAACAGTCCTGTCTATGGCAGAGGATAGATGATGTCCTTTATTTTTAAAGTCCCAGTTCCTTCCTACAGGGCTATATTACGGGAATCTTCATGAAGTTGAAGTTTTACTTATTTACTTGTTTCAGCTCAGTGCTTGGAAAGAAAGACAAAACAAGACAAAGCCAAAAGCCGACACTGGGGAAACAAAACACCAGTTGTTCCTGATGCAGCCTCTCATCCTCCTGGAGTTCACCTTTTGATGGAGAGGATAGGCAAGTTAACACACAAGCAAAGTCCGGTGGGTAACTGCTCCCACAGAGGAAGGCAAACAGGGATTCATCGCCAACTGAGCTTTGCAGAGTGTTTTTTGAATGGAGAGGAGGCACCTGTAATCCCAGCACTTTGGGAGGCCAAGGCAGAAGGATCACTTGAGGCCGGAAGTTCAAGACCATCCTAGGCAACATAGTGAGACCTCGTCTCTACAAAAAATGAGATGGAAGGGTTGCTTGAGCCCAGGAGGTCAAGGCTGCCGTGAGCCATGACGGCACCACTGCACTCCAGCGTGATGACAGAGCAAGACCCTGACTCAAGAAATAAAAATGTAAAGGTTATGAATGAAGAGGAGAAAGAAAAGCCAGGGTTGTAAAATGGAGAAAAGAAACACAGAACTGTTACATCAATAATGCCCAAGACTGCGCCCGGCACCTATTAGATGCTCAATAATATTTTGTTGAAGGAATAAGTTACTGAATGAGAGTAACTTGTCACAGTTAAGGAAAGGAAAGTGTCCCTGCTTGATTACAGGGCTTGAGAGTTGGGGCAGCAAGAATTTGAATCTCAATTGCAGCATCTACAAGTTGTGCAAATTAGGCAAGTCACTTCAGCCATCAGAACCTCAGTTTCAGCCTCTATAAATGGAAAATAACATACCTACCTCCTACTGTTCAGGATCGGATTCAATAAGCTCTCCAAAGTGCTTGGGCTGGTGCTGAGACACCACGGCGTTCCAGTCTGTGGCTGAGGATAGATGACGTTCTTTATTTTAAAAGTCCTACTTCCTTCCTCTGGGGCTACATAGCTTGAATCCTCATTAAATAGACGTTTTACTTATTTGTTTCAGCTCAAATGCTTGGAGAGCAAGACAAAACAAGACACAGCAAAAAAAAAAAAAAAAAAAAAAAAAAATCAAGACAAAGTTTTTGTAAGAGCTAATGTCCCTTACAACAAAACATAGCTTTCCTGCAGAACCTCTCCATGGTGAATTGAAAACGGCTTTAACTGGTTTCATTCCAAGCAGCAGAAACAATTGTTGCCGACCTCACAGCTTTTCTGCGGGAGAGTAACCCCTGCAAAGGGTATTTCAGCTTTGCCTGTCTCTATTTAAAAATGCGTGTGAAATACCAACCCAGTCAAAATAGCAACGCTTCTAAAATCGCTGCTGATGTCCTAGAATGCAAAACCCAAGGAACACAGTTCCCTGGCTCTGCTCTAAGCACTACATATGCTCTGTATTTTGACCCTGTAAAGCCAGAAGCCCGGGGTTTTTCACAGATACTGGCAGCCACCTGAAGGTAACAAGACAGCCAGGCCAGAAAGGATGTTGAAACTATTTTGAGGGTTCTATAAATCTACATTAACATTTTTCTTTTCTTGGATCCGTCCTTTCTCTCTCACCTCTCCTAGCCCCTTCTCTTCTTCCAATTCTCTTGCTCCTTACCTCTTCCATGACAATGGAAGGAAAATATTTATCCCAGCCCATAAGTATTAACTACAGAGAACTCATCACCAAACAGGCACATAGACAAGGGCAGTGCCCTCACTTCCACTTTAGAAGAGAGTATCCCTCTCTTCTATTCCTCCTGGTGCCTCCATAAAAACTGCCTCTTAGGTATAACTCTTGGCTCTCCTGGGTTCAGAATTCCTGCACCAGAAGTTTAGCAAGACCATATTTGCTTTCAGCTGCATGAAGAGTCCACAGCTCACATACAGCCTTGCTTTTCTTTCTCTTTTTTTTTCTTTTTTCCAGATGAAGTCTCACGCTATCACCCAGGCTCCAGTGCAGTGGCACAATCTCAGCTCACTGTAACCCCCACCTTCCAGATTCAAGCAATTCTCCTGCCTCAGCCTCCTGAGTAAACTCATATTACAAGTGCCCACCACCACCAGCTAATTTTTGTATTTTTAGTAGAGATGGAGTTTCACCATGTTGCCTGGACTGGTCTCAAACTTCTGACCTCAGGTGATCCACCCACCCCAACCTCCTAAGGTGCTGGGATTACAGACGTGAGGCATCCCGCCTGGTCAGCGTCCAGTCTTTCAATTCCTGGCCACCTCTTGAGTGTCTAGATGGCAGGGCCTCCACTTTCTCTGATCCAGGAACTTGGGCTGAGCAGGCTGATCAGTTTTATTTAAAACGGTGCTTCCCAAAGCCAGTCAGTGATGGCTTCGTGGGCATGGGACCTGCACAGTTGCACGGGGCCCTGCCTACAGAAGAGCCCACCACATAGCTAAACGCTCTACTGTTGCTGTCTTAAAATTCTTAATAATTTTTGACCAAAAAGTCCCACATTTTCATTTTGCACTGGGCCTGCAAATGATGTTGCTGGAGATGCATAACCATGCACTGTACAGGAGATAATTTTAGCTGCTCCACAGACCAACCTTTTCGTAATTCAACTGGCTACATGTGTACATTGCTGTATGTGTTAGAATCGGCATGGACTCAGTGATCACACTCTCCTTTTGCAGCTCTTATGACTGAGGAAGAGGAAGAATCTACTTATGGGAAAAAGTGAGTCCACTTAAAAAAAAAAAAAAAAGGAGATATATTAACTACAGATCCTACTAAATTGTGGCAAAAGAAAAAGTGAGGGAAGTAAATAAATTTGAGAATTGCTGAACTTAAAGGACCTCCACCAAATCACTAACTACAAAATATCACTAGCCCCACAACACTAGTACTCACCTGCTAGCTAGAGTGCCTGAGTTCTTGTATTGTGGCTTATCAGAATGTACTCTAATTCACTATGTGCCTTTGGACAAGTCTCTCTGCCCCTCCCCGCCCCACATCTCAGTGTGCCCATCTATAAAACGGGCCAGTTCTTTCATCTTAAAAATCTTGGATTCCCTTGAGTTAAACCAATGGTTTGTAAATGCTGGTCCCCATACTGACTGCATCTGAGCCACTGGAGGAGGTCATTAGAAATGCTCATCCCCAGGCCTCAGTCTGGGGGATTCAGTAGGTTTGAGGTTAAATTTTGGAATATTTTAAACCGACCTTCTTAGCACTTTCGATCGGCAGTCAGTTTTGAGAGCTTCTAAGTGAAAATATTAAAAATCACCCATTTATCATTCAACAAGCGCTTGCTGAACAATCCCTGTGGGTCTTCCACAGTACAGAGTAATGGAGAATTAGACCATCTCTGCCTACTGACGCCCTGCACCGTCTGGTTGCAGGAAGAACTTGAACAACAAAGCAATCATATCTACTTCCTGTGTACCAGCTACAAAGAGTTGCATGTATATTAACTGTGGCACACTGGATCTTTCCAAAAACAGTCACAGCAATATTGCCAGTTCCATAATGTTACCACCATAATGTTGCCAGTACATCAAGCAATGGCGTCTACTTCCACTCTCCTTGAAACTGAGTAGAATGTTGTGACTTCCTCCATGAGCAGAAAGAGTAAAAGTGACTCTCTGTGACCTCCAGGAGAAGTCATAAAAGGCCATATTTCTTCCACCTGGCTTTCTTCTCACTTCTCTCAGGATGCTTACCAATGGAACCTAGCCATCGTCTTGTAAGGAAGCCAAGTAGCTATATGGAGATGCCATGTGTGGGTGTCCCAGCCATCTGATCCAACTGAGGCCTCACCAGTCTCCAAACATAAGAGCGAGCAAGCTCCAACTCCATGCCTGTAGCACTACAGGTGCCCCTCAGAGCTCACCAGCCCCTACCTTGTTTTCCCTCTCATCTCCTCGCTTCCATGCAGCCTTTCTCTACCCTGTGACACACGGGAACCCAAGCATTATTCAGAGCCCTTTGCACTTCTTCGACCAACAGCCTCGTAATACTATTACTGCTGATGGCTTTTCATTCCCAATGCCAAACCTGATTTGGAGTTCACAAGGCTGAGGGTTTCAATCCAGGCTCTGTGGACAGGCTCCGGGAGCCCTAAGTGACTGTAGCTTACAGACAATCCAATTGTTATTGACATTTGTGTCTGATTGTTCATCAAGGAGGAGCTGTCTTGTAGGCCAAATCATTCTATTACCCGGCCCCCCTTTCACCCTCCCCACTAACGACAAAACACATACGCACCATCAGTGGCAGGCCAATCAATCGTAATATCACTCTACATCTATCAGGGTTGCTTTTGTGTGCCTGAGTTTAGAGGCAGCTGGGGGAGGGAAAAAGGGAAATGGGAAGAAAAAGGAATGGATCTAAATGTGTGTGCTTTGAGGGTCTGAAATGGAAGCATCTACTGAAAACAGAAAAGAATCAATTGCATTGCAAAAGATATCCATAAATATCTATGTCTGTATCCATATTTATATCTATATACCCGACTACTTGGGAGGGTAATTCTTAAGAGGCATGTCATTTTTCAGTTCATTCTGCTTGACTGTGTCCCAGGATAATGTCCAGTTTTATCTTAAATGAGGCTTGTGTTGGGTTAAGCAAACTTGATCATAATAGATCCAATAAGTTGATGAGTTACCCTGCCCCCACAGCATAAAGCATCTCTCATTCGTATCATAAATCTTTTCCCCATTTTATCTAATTCTATTTTTCCAGAGTCCCCCATTAGCCAGACAACTCATTTTAGTGTTATCTTGAGAAAGCTGAAACCATCAGCCTGCTGCAAGTGTTGGCTGTATCTGACTTCAAGTGCTCTTACAATTCTCATTCATTCCAAGAACAAGTGAAGACCTCAAACCATCAGTCAGACGAAAGCCATTTTGCAAGGAGTGGTGAAAGGTTTGCACTGAACCATCCACACTTTCTTGGACTCTAAACAATAACACACCTTTTTGGAATGGCTGCCACATGGATTGGTCCCTAAGTGGATACAACAATGACCTTGGTCTTCTCAGCAACAGGACTGAGCTAACTCACAAACCCAAGGCTCTTCTTTGCTCAAAAAGAAAAAAGTGGGCACATTAAAGCAACAGTGAGTTCTACACACTACTAGAATGGCTAAAATTAAAGACTGACAATCCCAAGTGTGGGCAAGGATGTGGAATGATTGAAGCCTTCATACCTTATTGATGGGTGTTAAGGGCTGAATTGTGTCCACACTACATTAGTATATTGCAGTCCTAAACCCCAATACCTGAGAAGGTGGCTGTATTTGGAGATAGGGTCTTTAAAGAGGTGATCATGTTGAAATGAGGTCATTAGGATGGATGGACCCTAATCCAATATGCCTAGTGTCCTCAAAAAATAGGATATCGGGATGCAGACATGCACAGAGATAAGGTGATGGGAAGACACTGGAAGAGGCAGCCAGTCACAAACCACAGACAGAGGTCTCAGGAGAAACCAACCCTGCCAATACCTTGATCTCAGACTTCCAGCCTCCAGAATGGTGAGAAAATTAATTTCGGTTGTTTAAGCCACCCAATCTGGGTATTTTATTATGGTAGCCCTAGCAAACCAATACAGTTGGAGTGCAAAATGGTGCAGCCACTTTAGAAAACAGTTGCCAGTTTTTATAAAGTTAACTGTGTACTAACAAATGTAACACAGAAATCTCATTCCTTCTCTTCCATCTCCAGAAGAGATGAAAACATATGTTCATACAAAGACTTAAAAATAAATATTTATAGCATAATTATTTATAATAATCCAAACTATTGAAACAATCCAAATGTCTCTCAACTTATGAGTGAATAAACAAATTGTGGTATATGCATATAATGGAATACTACACAGTAATGAAAAGAAACAAACCATTGGCACATAGAAAAACATGGAGGAATCTCAAAGCATTCATTGTATTAAGTGAAAGAAGCCAGACACCAAAGACTATATATAATTTCCATTTATATTACATCCTGGGAAAGCTAAATCTACAAGAACAGCAAACATATCAGTGCAGCCCAGGGGCTGAAGGTAAGAGGAGGGAATTTATTACAGAGAAGCACAAAAGAACATGTTTGGGTAATGGAATTGTTCTATTTCTTGATTGCAGTGATGGATACATGTCAAATTCATCAAACTATATCCTTAAAAGAGTACATTTTATTGTATATGTTTCAGTAAACTTGACTTTTAAAAATAATATTATAATAATGAGCTATCCTTTTTTGTCCAAGGGGTAAATTTTTAAAAAAAATATTAATAACATTCAGGGCCGGACACAGTGGTTTACACCTGTAATCCCAGCACTTTGGGAGGCTGAGGGTAGAAGTTGGAGACCAGCCTGGGCATTATGGTTAAACCCTGTATCTACCAAAAATATATACAAAAATTAGCTGGGCATGGTGGTGCATGCCTGTAATCCCAGCTACTCTAGAAGCTGAGGCATGAGAACCACTTGAACCCACGAAGCTGAGGTTGCAGTGAGCTGAGATCACACCACTCCAGCCTGGGCGACAGAGTAAGACTGTTTCTAAAAAAAAAAAAAAAAAAAAAAATCAGTATTGATGAAGATCCAGGCAAACAGGTACTTGTATGCCCCTGAGAAGCACCATTGAATATTTATTTTTGTTGTTTGCTTGCTTGTTGGTTTTATAATTTCAACTCATTTCAGAATCAGGGGGTACATCTGCAAGTTTGTTTCGTGGGTATATTGCTTGATGCTGAAGTTTGGAGTGTGGCTGGTCTCATCACCCAGGTATTGAGCATGGTACCCAATTATTAGATGTTTCCATTAGAAACACCTTTCTGGAAAGCAAATTGGTCGTTCTCCATCAAAATGTAAAACGTATTATCTTTTGACTCAGTGTATCTTTCTCTAGGAATCCATCCTGCAAAACGACTTGCATATTTATAATAGGTACATAGCAGTATTGTTTTTCATGATAAAAATAAGACAGCAACCGTGGAAAGTTATCACAGAAACAAGAGCTCAAAGATACTCACCCAATTAATGACCTGAAAGAAGAGGAAGCAGAGGTGAGGACAGGGGGGAGATCTCTGTACATGTTATTCAATATGTTTCGTTATTGTTTAAATCTTTTATACAGAGAATTAATTCACATGTTGTACAATATTTATTTTTTAACCCTGGGCCCAGAACTCCATTTTAATAAATAATAAAATGCTTCTTACTCCACTGTCCTCTTAAATCGTCCCCTTCCCTGTTCTCTCTTTATCGATATAGGTACTTGTCATCCCAAACTAATTAATTCATTAAGACGGGTCATCCATTTATATTAGCAGATTTTAGGCAAAGAAATTCTTTTAAAAAATATACGCTAGTGTTTACTGGTACATGATTATCAAAATGATGACAATGACAATATTGAAAGTCATAAGAGTAGAAGAATTTGGCTGACTTCACTTAGGCAGACCTGATGGTCGAAAGTGTCATATGCTTGTGAAGATTTGCTTAGTGTTAGCTCAGTGGCAGGAACAAAATAAGGATGAGAGGAGGTTGGAGAAACTGTGGACAATTTATGTCACTGAAGAGGGATTAGAAAACACTTAGGGGAAGAACAGATGGATTGATGTTAGATCCAGATTTCCTTGACCTTAGAGGGTAAATATAAATCAAATTAACTTCAATTACAGAGAAAAACACCGAGTTCCTTTGGAACGAGGCTATAATCAGGGACTTTGACTTTGCAAATACCTGCTGTGCTTGCAACACTCGTCCACCGGGGCCACCGTAGGAGCATGTGCAACTTGGGCTGAACAAGAGCCTGGGTTTCCTCCAGTTCCCCACACCTGGAGTTGAGCAATAAGATATTCCCTTTGTTGCTGAACTCATCAACCTTGGTGAAGCCAAAGGTTTACTTGAGCTACTTGAATCATTGGAAAGTAGGATGGAAAACAGGTATGTCCTTGAGTTATAGTCTTTTCCTGTGGCCACTTCTCCTCTCCAATGAGAGAATTATATCTCATCTCGGAGATTACTTGAATTTTACCAGGTAAGTGTTCTAGAAGTGATGATCTCATTGAATTATTTCTTAGTGGGTTTTAAGTTGAAAGTGGGAAATCAAAAAATGGGGAAAATACCTATTCACTATGAGAGTTCCTTACCAGCAGGTGTCTCGGTGTCTTTGCCAAACCTTGCGATTTTTTGGCCACCCAATCTAGGGTGGGGGTGAGGAGAGATTCCATTAAATTTGAGGTCAGCAAATTATTCCTGTAAAGGACCAGATAATAAAAAGTTTAGGCTTTGTAAACCTTACGGTCTCTATCATAACTACTCAACTCTGCTGTTGTAGAGCAAAAACAGTAATAGATGACATGTAAATGAGTGGCACGTAAATGACTGTGTTCCAATAAAACTTTATGGGCACCTAAATTCAAATTTCATATAATTTTCATATGTCACAAAATATTATTTTCCCTTTGATTATTTTTGCCAAGTATTTAGAAAGGTAAAAACCCCATAGAGATATATGCACATGTTATGTTCACTGCAACACTATTCACAATAGCAAAAACATGGAATCAATCTAAATGCCCATCAATGATAGGATAAAGAACATGTGGTACACATACACATGAATACTATGCAGCCATTAAAAAGAATGAGATCGTGTTCTTTGCAGGAACATGGGTGGAGCTGGAGGCCATTATCCTTAGCAGACTGACACAGGAACAGAAAACCAAACTAAGTGGGAGCCAAATAAGAACACAAAGAGGGGAACAGCAGACACTGGGGACTGCCTGCGGGTGGAGGGTGGGAGGAGAGAGAGGATCAGAAAAATATCAGATATTATGCTTAGTATCTGGGTGATGAAATAACCTGTACAACAAACCCCAGTGACATGAATTTACCTGTATAACAAACCTGCAAATGTACCCCTGAACCTTAAACACTTTGTTTGTTTGTTTGTTTAAAGATAAAAACCATTCTTAGTTCTTGAGCCCTACAAAAAGGTAGTGGACTGAATTTGGCATACAGGGCCTAGTTTGTCAACACCTGAATTAAATCATCTTCTCATTTACACGTTTTTGTTGCAAATATAATTGTTTTGAAATGTCCCTCTTACTAAAGCAATGTCTTGACAGATAGATTACTAAATAGGCAGATAATTGATGATTGATAGATAGATAGATGGATTTTTTTCTAAAGAAATAGTTGATCATTTGGGATATTAGAACTAAGCCCCTTGCAAGTTATGCTTATCGCAATGCCTAGCATGTAATATAGGTCAGTACATTTCTCTCAAATAAATGGAGAAAAGATTAAAGGAAAAAGAGTTTAGAGTTTTGTTTTCCTTCCTGGAAATAGTTGATTAATTGATTTATTCATAAAAAAATTATTGTATGTTTACCATGCTTGCCAGATAAGGTTATAGCAGAAAAAAAGGCAAGTCCCTACTTTCATGGAGCCCAAGTTCCAGGAAGAAAGAGAGACAATAAATAGAATCTATCATGAAGGTGTTTAAAGGACAAGCTGCTGATGGAGCATATAAACTGGGTGATCTAACCCCAGTGACTGGCAAACTCTTTCTTTATAGGGCTAGAGAGTATTTTTAAGTTTTGTGGTTCATATATTCTCTGTCTCAACTGCTCAACTCTGCCATTAGGGAACATGTAAATGAGTGGGCATAGTTGTGTTTCGATAAAACTTTATTGACAAAAACAGTCAATTGGTCAAATTGGGTTGACAGGAAATAGTTTGTCAACACTCAATTCAAGCCAGTTTGAGAGGTCAGTTAAAATCTTACTGAAGAGGCGTCTTTTAGGACAAGACCTGAAAGATGATCAGGAGTTCATTATGAAGGAAGGAGCAGGGCAGACACAGAGGGTTCCAGGCAAAAGGAACAGCATTTCAAAGATCTAGCTGCGTCTTTAAGGATTTTAAAGAAATCTAAGTATTTTGGAGTAAAACAAGCAAGAAGTGAAGTTATAAAAGATGAGTTGGAGAAGAAGCTGAAGCCAGGGCTTTCTTAATGGTCTGTACTGTATCCTAAGGGCATATAAAGTGTCTGTTTTTAATAAAGAAGTGACATGATTGGGCTTGCATTTTTTTCAGTTCATTGTGGCTCTTAGAGTGAAGGGATTAGAGGAGCCAAAAGTAAAGGTGAGACATTCATCATAATGGTGAAAATGAAAAATAAAATCTGATAACATCAGATGTTGGTGAACTGTTCTAGTTCACAACTCTTCTGACACCCAATGTGTGTGAATTTTCCTCACACCAACTAAATCTCCACCTCTCCAGACACCAACTAGATGTCTTGCAATTCAATTCAGTTCTGTCAACCAACTACCCAAAATTGGTGTCAGACTCCATGCATTTAAGAGCTCAGTCCTCGAAGACCACCCTCACATCAGATACCAGTCACAACTATTTGGTTCCTAGTTAATCCATCTTGCTGTCCAGCTTGGCTACACATCAGAGGTTCCCAAAACCTCTCACCTCAGGTTCAATATTTTGCTAGGATGGCTTCAGGAGCAACTCAGGATGCAAATGGAAGAGATGCATAGGATGAAGTGTGGGAGGGGGTGGGTGCATGGAGCTTCCATGCTGCCTTGGTTTGGCTGTGTCCCCACCCAAATTTCATCTTGAATTGTATCTCCCATAAGTCCCATGTGTCATAGGAGGGACCTGATGGGAGGCAGTTGAATGATGGGGGCGGGTCTTTTCCATATTGTTTTCAAGATAGTGAGTCTCATGAGATCTGATGGTTTCATAAATTGGGAGTTCCCCTGCACAAGCTCTCTTGTCCACTGCCATGTAAGACATGCCTTTGCTTCTCCTTTGCCTTCTGCCATGATTGTGAGGCCTCCCCAGCCACGTGGAACTGTGAGTTCATTAAACCTCTTTCTTTATAAATTACCCAGTCTCTGGTACATCTTTATTAGCAGCATGAGAACAAACTAATACACCTATCACCTTTGGGTGAATCACCCTCCCAGCACCTCCATGTGTTCACCGACATGAATGCTCTCTGAACTCCATTATTTAGAAGGTTTTTATGGAGGTATTGTTGATTAAATCATTGGCCATTGGTGATTAGCCCAATCTCCAGCCCCTCTCCCCTCCTTAGAGGTCAGGGAATGGAGCTGAAAGTTCCAATCTGTGAAGAGTACCTTACTCTCGGTCACCAGCCTCCATCCTGTAGTTATCCAGGTGTCTCTATCTGCCAGTCAGCACATTTGCCTACAAAAGCATTCTTCTCACTCTGGAGGCTCCAGCACGTTTAGGAGCTATGTGGAACAACTGGGGTCGAAAATCAAATATTTATTTTTTTGTTGTATCATAGTTGGCAAATAAAAGGACAACCTAGGACATATCACAAGCTTCTGGTGGGAGGATACACTGGTCCAAACATTTTGGAAAATTGTTTAGCACTTTCTGCTACAGCTGAACATATCTCTTTCCTGACAGCAAATACTTCTACTCTCAGATGTACACTTAAGAGAAATGGGAGTGTTGCATTCACCAAACACAAATGTCCATAGTTGCCCTGTTTGAAAAAGCCCAAAACTGGAAACAATTTGAATGCCCAGCCATTGCAGAACAGATAAATAAATCGTGTTATTCTTATGCAGTACATGGTGTCAAATGCAACACTGAGAGTAATCTAATCGGTCCACAGTTACGTGCAGTGACATAGATTAATTTCACAAACATGTGATGTGCCGAAAGAAAGAAACCAGACATGAGAGTACAGTAAGTTCTGCTATGACATCGTACATGTACCTAAAAACTACTGTGCTATGTAAGTTCATTCAATAAAACCCACAGAGTTTATGGGGAAAATGGGATTGGGGGACAATACTCAAAAACTTTGTCAGTGACACATTTTTTAAAAAATAGGAACATAGCCTGGTGTGGTGACTCACACCTGTAATCCCAGCACTTTGGGAGACCAAGGTGGGCAGATCCCTTGAGGTCAGGAGTTCGAGACCAGCCCGTACAGCATGGCAAAACCCCATCTCTACAAAAAATAAAAAATAATAATAAAAAATATTAGCCAGGCATGGTGGTATGTGCCTGTAGTCCCAGCTGCTTGGGAGGCTGAGGTAGGAGGATGGCTTGAGCCTGGGAGGCAAAGTTTACAGTGAGCCAGGATCACGCCACTGCACTCCAACCTGTGTGATAGAAACAGACCTTGTCTCAAAAAAAAAAAAAAAAACAAAGGTAATAAAAGTGATAGTACAGTTTCACACACGTAAAATGTTTTTTAAAGTGCATACATACGACAATAAATATGGGACTTTAGAAAAGTCCTGAAGTTTGCTTGTGGGAATGTGCATTGGACGGGTAGCAGCTTGTGAGTTTTTGGGAAGCGGCAGGAGGTTGTCTGAAATCAGGAAGTTGTAACACCAGATGGGGATGAGGGTGGCTCATGACAGTTGCCGTGAACTGAGGAGCAGCTGGTCGATGTTAGAGGAACGTGCATTTTGTGTATTCCCCTGTGGCTCAGTTCAGCTGGGTGCAGTTTTCTACATTTATTTAGTGTTTCTCACAACAAAATTACACATAAGCACTTGCAAAATTTGCCTTATGCTCAAATTGTTCCCTAATATATCAATCACCTGAGAACAAACTTGCATTTTCAAAACAAGCATTATAGCAGAACTGGCTCTATATATTGGATGATTCCATTTTCTATAAGATTCGAAACCAAGTAAAGCTCTGGCCGGGCGCGGTGGCTCAAGCCTGTAATCCCAGCACTTTGGGAGGCCGAGACGGGCGGATCACGAGGTCAGGAGATCGAGCGAGACCATCCTGGCTAACATGGTGAAACCCCGTCTCTACTAAAAATACAAAAAAATAAGCCAGGCGAGGTGGCGGGCGCCTGTAGTCCCAGCTGCTCGGGAGGCTGAGGCAGGAGAATTGCGTGAACCCGGGAGGCGGAGCTTGCAGTGAGCAGAGAGCGGGCCACTGCACTCCAGCCTGGGTGACAGAGCGAGACTCCGTCTCAAAAAAAAAAAAAAAAAAAAAAAGAAACCAAGTAAAGCTCTATCCATGTGTAAGAAGTCAAGATAGTGGTTATCCTTGGGTGAGGGAAGGTAATGACTGAGAAGGCAGGTGAAAGGGCTACTGAGGAATATTGTGTTTCTGGGTGCTGGGCACAGGCTGGGTTCATTTTGTGCAAATATGATGGTGCTGTATCCTTCCCACATTTGCATTTTACTACATTTATGTTCAACTACAATAAGACATTAACTATGGATCAGTGATTAAAAACAGGGTCTCACACAAAACAAAGCAGCAAAGGCAGGAGACTAGCTAGGAAGGTGTTCTGGCCTTTGGAGTAAAAGGGGCTATAATCCCAGCACTTTGGGAGGCCAAGGCAAGAGGATCACTGGAGGCCAGGAGTTTGAGACCAGACTGGACAACACAGCGAGACCCCATTTCTACAAAACTTCATTAACTAATTAAAGGGAATGGTGTCCCAGACCAGGGTGTGCAGAGGAATGGGCAGCCATAGATGGATGGAAGGCTGTCTAGGCTATGGAGTGCCATGACTCGATGAATGTAAGGAAAATTGGTGAATGAAGACTCCAGA